GAATATCGGTTCGAACCATCCTCTCGGCGTATTCCCTTCTCATTATTTGGAGAAACCGTCTTTTACGCACCGATGTAGACGATCATGACTCTCTATAACTTCGTAATTATTAGCAATGTTTTCTTTTTTTATTTAACTCCCTGGTCTGATATTCCTTATCAGGAATTTGTTGGGTAGATTAACCGATGTTTACCTTTGGAGTAATGGATAGAGGTTCGGATTGAGGAATCGGAGAGCCGAGTTCGAATTCCAGTCGAATCCATTACATTCATTTACGTGCTAATACCCTTGGGAAATGTATGAATCCTCTTTTTCTCCCCAGCTATGGGTAAATAGCAAGACAGACCGAGTTCTATAACCTTGGATGGCAACTGGTCTACCGCAGAAAGAAATGGCAATATAATGCGGGAAAATATCTGCCTCATGTATCGAAAGATACATGACCACCTAAGCGTATATCATGTATGGCACATACCTGACTGACTCCCTTTGCTACTCTGGATTTAAATATATCCTGTGAGTGTCAAATTCTCTAAGCCCTCGTTCCTTGTTATGCGCCTGTAACATTTCAGTAGTCTCTTTTTTGTTCGTATTTTCCTTACAAACTTGCTCACATTCTCTGTCCATTGTATTCTCAGTATGCTTCTGTAGAACCACATCTCTGATGCTTGTCTCTTTCTGATTCAAAGTATATGTGTCCCTTTTGTTCCTATTTTCCTTAAAAAAAATCTTGCTCACATTCTCTGTCCATGGTAGTCGCAGCATTCTTCTTCATTTCTGTTACCTCAAGTCTCCTCCTCATCTGTGAGCAAATTGTCCAGCATTAACAGTCATATCGGAGGATAGGTAGGGGCACCTCGGGGTGGTGTAATGGTTAGCAAGCTTGTCTCACTAGAATAATTACCACTGAGTAGTGAGTTCGATACTCTCTGGATGCTCCATACTTTCGGCCTTGTGCCACATCTAAGCTAAGCTAAGTGGGAGCTCTCTATAGGAGGATTGGTAATGCGTAGCAGATTCGCACCATTTTCTTTGATTCTAAGGATAATTTCTTGATTCTTAATACATTGTTCAATTTTTGAAAGGCAACTTGAAAAGGCTGAGATAGTAGTGATCGGGGAAGCATCCTCTTGGGAGTCAGTGCCAAAAAGCAACGCTACTAGAGTAGAACGTATATCACACTAATGGTATACGAAGAGAATGAGGATGGTGATTTTCTAAGTGTCGCTTAGATATGGCACAAGGCCGAAAGTATGGAGTACCGAGTCAGAATGGAAAACACAAGCTTGTTAATAATTACACCAGGTCAAAGTGCCCACAAAAAGGATGAGTGTGGTTCATTGCAATGTGCGTGACATGGTAGCTTTTAGGCACAATTGTTAGAACAGGTGGAAATAAGGCCTACAGATAGTCTGAAAACTTTTCACGGAAATAACGAGTTTATAGACACACACGCGCACACAGGCAAACGCGCTTAATCCTCACATTCTGCTTAAACGTATTTCATTTTCATTCACGTTAATCATTAGCCAAAGAAAAAGGAAAAAATACTTATATATATATATATATATATATATATATATATAAAAAGATATTTTTGTAGGTACAAAATTTAATGATCGAAATAAAAGTATAAAATTTAATATTACAAGACATATTAAAAAAAATAAAAAAAAAAAAACAACAAGGAAAACAACCGGTTTCGCTCCCGCTCTTCAGGCTTCAACGGGAGATTCAAAATTAATACAGAAAATGTACAAAACCCAATATATATATATATATATATATATATATATATATATATATATATATATTGGGTTTTAGCTTCTATTTTGAAACATGGTTGGAACTGTGTAGCGAAAATAACCATATTTTAAATCAATTAATTTATATAATATATATATATATATATATATATATATATATATATATATATATATATATATATATATATGCCACCATTCCACCGCCTTATAAGAACGAAAACTAAACTGGATTGTGAGGAGGCTGAATTCCATAGAACGGTGAGAGCATCGATGATATGTTCAGCAGTACTTCCACAATAACTGATAGAGTTGTGATATATATATATATATATATATATATATATATATATATATATATATATATATGAAGCTATTGAGCACTAGCTTTTAGCATACGCTATAAAAGACATTTTTGTGATGCGATTCTTATCAGGACTTCCTTCATGAAAATCAGAAAATTGTTATTAAATTTGCAGAGAAGCTATGCTATTTTCAAAAGTTCCGCCTTGATGTCAAGTGATGCTTTATTCTTATTATTTGATGTCTGGCCTTGTATAGTGTGAACATAGAAAGGCTTGAGTCGTTTCGTCTGTGGGAAAGGGATGGAAAATGATTCATCACCTATAGGGATGTGAAGATGGTTGTCAATGAACGCTATCGAGACTGGTAAATTGAAGACTAGATAGCTCCTTACCATATATGTCAGCGATACTTCATTTTAGCCTCCCTCAGTGTCATTAGCAAACCTTTTGAAGCTATAATCAACCAGAAAGTTGTTGATCACCGCAATAGGGACAACCTCTTGAACAGGAAGTGTTCCGGATTTCGATCAGTTCGGTCCACAGCTGATATTCTGTTATTACGCGCAGAATCAGTGAGGTACTAGACAACAAGTAAATCACAACGACGATTACATTAGTTATTTCAAAGATCTTTGACAACAGTTGGCATAAAGGATTACTGCAAGAAAAAAAAGCCATGGAATCACTAGAAGTGTCTTCTCAATTATCAAGTTCTTCCTAACAGGTAGGTCCCTGCTGAAGGCCAGTTCTCCGAGGCCCAAGTAATCAACGCAGGCGTTTCCCAAGGTTCGCTTCTCGATCCAACCTTCATTCTACTTTATCGAAAATGATCTATATGAGAGTATACTCCGATCATACCCGTGATATCTATACTGATAAAACGGTATATGGGTGGACCGCCAAAACGCTAGATGACCAGAGGTTGATAGCTGTTCTCTGTTGTGGCTTTCAAAGTGTAATATGTGGAAACTGGCTGGTCACATCCAATGCCTCGAAAATCAAACTAGTGACGTTCCATCGAACAGAGCCTGAATTTTCATCGCTCGCGATGAACGGATAGTCCCTCAGGGAGACCTCATGATTTGAGCGATTATTTGTACTTAAACTCAACCCAGACTTCAAGTGGAACTCGTACATAGGATCCACCGCTAAAGATGCTGGCAAAATGCTCGGTTCTCTGTACCACTTCAGTAAGTACCTGACTCCTCTTACTATCTTCTACCTTTAAAAAAGCCAGATCTAGCCTAAATGGGAGTACTGTTGGCATATTTGGGCTGGAGCTGCACGGTCTTCACTTTCCAGTTTCGATAGGGTCCAAAAGCGTCTCGGCGTCCTTGTGGGTTTCAAATTATACTCCAACCCTTCAATTTCTTTTCTCAAAGACGAAATGTCGCAAGCTGCTTACTGCTTTATTGCTATTTCCATGGAAATTGTTCAAACGAAATGCCTGCCTTAATTCAACTAGTTCTAACCTTCACGGCCAAGACCCGTCATGCTACGGCCATTGTAGCGAACAACAATGAGTGAGAAATAACTTACATCCTAGCAGTTTCTTCTCAAGAACCATTACTCGGGTGTTTTCCTGATCACTACAATCTTAAACTGTTCCGTTCTAGAATTAACCGTTATCTTCCCCACATATCCACATAAATTGTGCCCCTTACTCTGTAAAACTCTGCCTCGAGTGATTTCCAGCTTTATTCAGAATGCCCAATTTAAAAAAATAAAGAAATGTAAAAAGGAGTAGATAAGTTCATATACCGCCCGGTTCACACTCTTCCCCGGTCTTTTGAACTGAATTCACCATTCATGTGTGTTCTCTCAGGGAGGCCCTGTGCATTGAGCGACTACTGTGCCATAAACTCACCCCGGAACTTGCGATCTATCGGAAAAGATGCTGGAAAAATTGTCGGTTCACTGTACCGTTTCAGTAAGTACCTGATGCCTATTGCTATTATCTACCTTTGCAAGAGCCAGATCAGTCCGAAACTGGAGTACTGCAGTAATATGTGGACAGGAGCTGCTCGGTCTTTACTTCTAAGTTTCGATAGAGACTAAAAACGTCTCCGCGTTCTTGTGGCCGATGAATTATTTTCCACACTACAACCACTTTCCCCACAGACGAAAGGCCGCTAGCCTCTCGCTGCTCTGTTGTATTTTCTATGGAAAGTGTTCAAGCGAACTAAATTTCTTTGTTCTACCACGAACCACCCTCATTCCCTTCGAATTCCATTGGTGTGCTGCAAGTTCTGCTTGAACAGCTTCTTCCTACGAGCAGCTGCTTTGTGGAATCAACTTCCAAGTGATTGCTCCCCCGATCACTATAATTTTACCCAGTTCAAGTCTAGGGTTAGCCGTTATCTTCCCAGCATAAACCGTGCCTCGTTATTTGTAACTCATTACCTCGAGTGGCTGTCGGGCCTTGTAAAAAGGTGAACATTGTAAGAAAAAAATGTGATTTTAAATCAATATAACAACTGACAGCTACATTTTGCTCTGTGAAGAATACCTCGTACCTAAACCGGGAATAGTGCATAAAAGCTATAAAACTGACATAAAGATTACAAAAAAAAAACAAACAGTAACATCAGTGAAAAATTGGCCTGGAGTCGGGTCGAAAGCTCTAGATCCCAAATGCAAGGAAATTATTTACATTTGTTGAGTTCTGACATGCTTTCTCATCTACGTAAACAAGAAATTAAAAATATATATATAAAAAACACTTCTTACACGGTCTTTAATTAAACGTATATATATATATATATATATATATATATATATATATATATATATATATATATATATATATATAAAAATTCTATGTCTCATCTATTTTGCTCACATTCCTTAAATGAATTGGGTTAGTCAGCTGTGGATGCCTAACCTGCGTCATATTTTTTCCTCAGCCTTTTGATTAGAAAGTCAAAAAAACATGTCCGCTAATGTCCGACCTGAAATCATTTCCTTGACGGTAATTTAAAAAAAAGAAATAAAAAAAATATTTCTGTATTTTCTTTCCTTATAATTTTTGCAAGTAAATTTATCGCGTCTTCTGAAGGAGCGTTGGTGAATAGGCTCGTTATGTCAAAAGATGAAGGAATTATATTTCTCTGATCTAACAATTTGATCTTTTCAAGAGCGGGAACTGAGCCAGGATTGATCTGAGGGATTAAATACATGGCCAGGAACAGACTAATAGGCATGAACGGGCGACTAATAGCAAACACACACACACACACACACTCGCACACAGATGCTTACATATGCGCGAATCTGTCGCGCTCTCTCTCTAATATATATATATGTATATATATATATATATATATATATATATATATGTACATAATTCTTCATTTTATTTAAATCTTTTCGTTATCGCTCTGTTTTGCTTTATCATTTACCATTTGCAATTTGTTGCTAAGTTATTATAGGAGATATTCGTATTTGAAATAGACGACCCATTGTTACGTTATTTTTTTATTTTACACAGAGTGTATTACGTCTATCGGTTTTCTCCACAAGGTTGTGAAGCAGCAATGTTCATAGACTCTTTTTTAAGATTTGTAGAAGTTTCATCGATGTACATTTGATATGATCCAGTCTGATATATTGTTCTCTGATCCAGAGAAATGGATTCGTTAAGTAGAAAATGTATTGAGAGTGCGCTGATCTAATTCTCGACGATAAACCTAAGACCAGGTTCGTACATACTATCACCCATTATCGCAAAAGCAAGAGCACAATCGGAGAGAGTATAACAGAGAAATGGGTTCATTTCAAATCCAACAAAAATAATATTTTTATTTCCCTCCAGAAAACGCCAAAAAAAATAAGACTTTAAAAACTTTAATAAAAAAAAAACGCATGTTTTTTTCATTCTGATCTGAAAATGCTATCGTAGGACACAAAGGCAAAACGCGTTATCTGAATAAAAAGCTATTCAATTTTGTCTCATTTCTAAAACAACGATGAAAAGTCTCCAAAGGATTCCGTCTACCCAATCAAAATTCTGGAGTTACCCGTGATATGATTTTCAGACATTTTCCAAAGATGCCGCACTCTGGGATTCCTTGGGGCCGGGAAGGGCAGGTCATAAACCGGAAAAAATTGTCTCTGATCTATTAATACTTATAATGATTTTCTAAGCGCGGATTATATGTGGCACAAGGCCGAAAGTATCGGGCACCCAGTGAGAATCGAACTCACTACTCAGTCGTAAGTGTTCTACTAAGACAAGCTTTCTAGCCATTACACCACATCGAGGTGCTCGAAAATGATATTCTAATCAGTCGTAGATGTGTTAGCGAGACAAGCTTGCTAACCATTACACCGCCCTGAGGTGCATATATATATATATATATATATATATATATATATATATATATATATATATATATATATATATATATATATATATATATATATATATATATATATATATATATATATATATATAATAATTACATGAATAATTCAAAAAAACAAATATAGAGGTTAATGATTTAAATCGCGAGAATACATCTTCGCAAACAATTTCAATAAGTTACGCTCACCCCGAACCTGTATATGATCCCTATTTATAAATTCCAGTTGCATAAGGTCTTTTTTAGTCTTTACAAGCTTTCGTCTGTTCCTACAGACATCCTCAGGTATGGAAATAGATTTGTTCTTGTTTTTTACTTCTCGGTAATAAGAGGACAACGAAAATATAGATGTAATCCGAAAAAATGCTATGAGAAATGTGTTATTGTTTTGGAACGTGCGGTCGCAACGCTGAGTTTGAATTTTAAATTTTAAGGTTGTGCGTTTTTGTACAAATATAGTAATAAGAGAATTCTTTTGTACTGGTAGGTTTTCCGTCAATGTGGCATGAACTATATTGTTCAATAATTACAGAAATGTCACACTTATTATCCGAAAATTGCACGTTGGATCAGTTATTTTAATTTCGATTATAGGTGCAGTTCAATTTATAATTACATGAATCATTCATACAAAAACAAATATATAGGTTAATGATTTAAATGGCGAGAATACATCTTAGCAAACATTGTCGCCATTTACATCATCGATTTAGCCTTGATGTGAAGATATCAAGATTGTAGCGTTCAGGAAAACATCAAGGCGGGATTTTCTTTCCCAAAGTAGCGGTTATTGTATACTTACTCATTAATGGTCATCGTCCCCAAAATAAGACATTTCCCATTATTAGCTACTTTTCTTTGAATCCCATATGTGGTAGGGAAGTGAGAAAATGGAGGATAGTACCACGCGTGGCAAGAAACCATTAGAATAGACTTTACGGTTACCCCTATTTATTTAAACAATAAAACAATGAGACTTAGTTGCCAATTTAGAAGGACGCGTAAATTTATGGGTGAGAGGTCATTGAATAATAGCCATGAAAATATTTATAGAAAAGACATTGCACGATTTATTAAGAGAGATTCGATTAAGTCAATTATTAAATACTAGTGTACCCGTGCCGTCAAAATTGACGGCAAGAAGGAATGTATTACAAGTAGTATGTATTATATCTTAAGTAATTTTCGTTTAATACAAGTACAATTTTGCAATATCAAACTGTTTGTTGTTAATGTTAATAATTAAACAGTGTACAATTTATAAACACCTGAGGAAAGATGTCTGCATATTATCCTCATAAATGTTACATATTTACAAACAAAATTGTGTTTACTGCAAAAGTTACCGAAGGACAATATTTTTGTGTAAACTTTAGAAGGTCTGAGTATTCCTTGACAGTCCATTGATTCATTCTGTAATTTCAAAGTCTGCTTATTTCTCGTCCTATTAAGAGCAACGTATCATATATATATATATATATATATATATATATATATATATATATATATATATATATGTATACAAAGAAATAATCACACATAGAATCAATCAGAAGTATTAATGCGATTATTGGCGATATCCATCGCTAGAAACATAATATATGCATTAAAATACTGTTAATCCATAGAGCGAAGTGATCCTCGTCGATAAACTTGATGTCTGTAGTTTTCAGTTTATTTGATGTTAAAATCAGTATTTTAATGCATATATTATGTTTCTAGCGATGGATGTCGCCAATAATCGCATTAATACTTCTGATTGATTCTATGTGTGATTATTTCTTCGTATGTAAATTATATGCTGCCTAATGTCTTATGTTTATATATATATATATATATATATATATATATATATATATATATATATTATTGTTCCCGGTCCTCTTTTTGTAAATTATAATTTTAAAGTTTAAAATGAATTTCTAAAAATGAACAAAGCATTCTTGAAGATATATGTGGCGTATAATATATACGAACTCTATCGATAGAGTTAACACGGTACCAGTTGGATCATCGTTATTTCCCACAATGCCCCTCAATTGCAACACACACATAAAACGTATATATATATATATATATATATATATATATGTGTGTGTGTGTGTGTGTGTGTGTGTGTGTGTGTGTGTGTGTATGTGTGTGTGTGGTGTATTATATATAGAGAGATTATTATTAAATAATTAATGCCATATACATGGCAACGAGTGTTCGTTACATCACAAAAATAAATTAGGCGCCTATGATGAAAACGTTTTAAGCACTTGCTAGAGTCGTAAGTCAGATGTGAACCTAGTAACCAAATAGTTTTTGCCCTTTTCCATGATAAGAGTAATTTAGTAACTGCATCTTGAAATCTAAAAAGAATAAAACGGAAAAAGAGTATACCCCAAACGTTATGGTCTACTAAAAACACTTCATTATTTATTATTAAACAAAGACTTCATAAATAAGAAATATTCCTATTAAAAGATAATATATATAAATAAGAAATATTCCTATATATATATATATATATATATATATATATATATATATATATATATATATATATATATATATATATATATATATATATATAAGAAATATTCCTATTAAAAGATAACGACAATGCAGTCGTTTCTCTTACCTTGGGTCTAGCTACATTCTTGATTAAAACATTGATAATAGTTGAAGTCATTTTATACTCTTCGTATGATAATGTCTGTTATTACTTTGCTATCACAAATAGCTTATTGACACTCGGCATGATAAAAATAAGATCTGAAAATACCTATGCAATAGTTTCTTCGACATCAGGTAATATCTCAGAGCGTCGTTATATTCGATTAATGCCATTTATACAAATTATTTTTCATATATTTTTTTTGTTTCGTGTCGATCATAGTCGGTCACATGAAGTGAATATGAAATGAACGAGAGAGGGTCATTGCGTCCAAAGCAAAACGGAAGCATAAACCTGAAGTCAAACAGCATGTGTTTTTTTTCCTCATTTTTAAATGACTGCATCACTGAGATACATAAAGCTGACCAAAACTGAAAGGAAGTTTTATTTCTACTTCGACCTCTAATTTTCTCTCTCGCTCTATTTTACTCTCTCATATCTATCTATCTATCTATCTATCTATCTATCTATCTATCTATCCCATTCTTATCCTATCTATCTGCTTCTGATCCTATCTATCTATACCACTCTGATGCTATCTATCTATCTATCTATCTATCTATCTATCTATCTATCTATCTATCTATCTATCTATCGCAGTCCGTTCATATCATAACATATAGTTTGTGCTAAGTTCACTACCATTTATCAATGATTTCAGTATTTTGCCATATCTTGTCTGCAATTCCCCATGGTGTAACGTAGCTTCCTCGCCCCTTTTCTATAAATCCTTTCGTGGTAATTGTCCGAATGAAATTTCCTCTGTGTTAACTAGACTTTACGAATTTAAGCGCAGTACTCGATTGGCGGCAAGATCTCAGCATTTTACAATTAAAATGGCTAAATGCAATCGTAAGTTCTGTGCTAAGAATTACTTTTATCGCACTTCCGTTCTGTGGAACTCTCTTACAGATTCTTACTTCCCGGTCAACATTGCACGTCAATAAGTTAAATGCAATATTAATCGTTATCTTCTATCATCCACTTGTATTGTTCTCTCTCCTTAATAGTAATATTTTTCTCATGTTCTCGCACACTAGGGAACCCCCTGTACCTTAGTAGATTTATTGCCTTGCTTAGGGTGAAATGCTTAAAAAATCTATCTATCTATCTATCTATCTATCTATCTATCTATCTATCTATCTATCTAATTCTGTTCATATCTGTCTATATATCTATCTATTTAAATATGTTTCTATCTATCTATCTATCTATCTATCTATCTATCTATCTATATATATATATATATATATATATATGTCAGCCTGTAAATATCTATTTAAATATTTATCTAAGTGTTCATATCTATCTATCTATCTATCTATATATCTATGTATTTAAATCTATCTATCTAGATATCTATGTATTTAAATCTATCTATCTATCTATCTATCTATCTATCTATCTATCTATCTATCTATCTATCTATCTATCTAAGTCTGTTCATTATCTATCTATCTATCTATCTATCTATCTATCTATCTATCTCACTTTTTTCGTATCTATCTTTCTCT